TCCTCAAGGGCTGGGCAAAGGAAGAGAAAAGGCTGAGTTTCCTTGCAGGAAAGGAGAAGACTACATTTGGGAGGAATGTCAAATGATTCTAATAGGCTGGAAACTTCTGAGCTCTATCATATCTTTGAAAAATGAGCCAGGGATGGTGACAGCTTTCTGGTGACAGTGGGAGAGTAGTTACTGAATGAGGCCATCACTGGCAAAGCATAGCATGGGGAGTTAACAAGAAAGGAGACTAAGAAGTGCAGAGTTCCAGCATCCATCCTGGGAGAGCTCACAGCCAAAACCTGATGTGAAAATTACTCATGTTCTGAGCATTCGCATTGCTGGCACATCCTGAATAAACAAGACAATAAAAATAACAAATGATCATTTACAGCTGTCTTTGTAGTTAAGTAGATCAAGAGAGAATAGACCTACTTCTTAGAGTAGAAAGAATGATGTTATTAGAGGACAATGAAAATAGAGATACCATTTTTTTTCCCTGCAGCACTGGGAATTGAACCCAAGGGTGTTCTACCACAGAACTACATCCCAGTCCTTTTTATTATTTTGAAGAAAGGGTCTCACTAAGTTGCTAAGGCTTACCTTGAACTTGCAATCCTCCTGTCTTAGCCTCCCAGACAGCTGAGATTATAGGTGTGCACCACTGCACTGGGCAAGAGCTACTAAATTTGACTATCACCTCTATTTAAAAATATTGTTCTCACTAGCATGAATAGAAAATACATAAAGATGATATCAAATTTTAATAGAGGGGAGGTAACAGTAAGATCCCCAAATTCCAGGTTCAAATGAAAGACGTTTGGGGAGTTTGAAAATCTGCTGATGAAACATACTAAGGAGTAAGAGAAGCCCCAGAAGATGGGAATCACAGGGATGTTGCCCCAATCTTCCATAAAGGGGGAACTGCAGAGAGCAATGATTCAGGCATTGGAAAAAAGTCTAATATATAAATAGATCTGGAAACATAACACTTATTAATTCTTAGCCAAGGCAGCAAGGCTCAGAGAGGCAATCTTGCCAGGGGTTCACTAGGCAGAGATACACCCAGATAAATTCAGATTACTCTGGTAGTTGTATGGCCCTGTGGCCCCTTGTACCACTCACATAGATAATATTAGACTCTGGTATATATGCAAACAGATCCAACCACTATGTTGGAGTCTAGCTGAACAAAACTTATCTGCAAGGGATACTGTTAATCTTCCCAAATTCTAAATTTACAAAAAAAAAAAAAAAAAAGAAAGAAAGAAAAAGGTCAAATGAGGTAAAGATTTTTCTCTCACTTTGAAGAGAAACCAATGGTGATTTTTCTCTAAAAGAGTTAGCATGCTACGTAAGCATCAGAATAGAAGACGATGCGTCAGGTCTGGCAGCTGACCTCTGTGGGGTAAAAGCTTCCTCTCCACATCTGGAAAATGGGACAGTGAAATACCACAGAAGTGGCCTGGAGCTTGGTTACCACACACATGGCCTGCCAAGTGGTCAGACTCATGCCTGGAAAGTGTGTGTGGAGACGTGCTGTGTGTTTAAGTATAATGTGGTAAATAAGAGACAAAATTTAAACTACACCCTCTATAAACCTCCTCACCCAACATTTTTCAGATGCATTCCACACTCTGTCAGAAATAGCAAATGAAACTTGTGCTGGTCAGCTTAGGAGCCTGGAGATGAATTGGTCAGCTGTGGCAGAATTCTGCTTTAATATAGTTTATGAAACATGATTGAAAATGGTGCCTGTCATGCTTGAAAATGGGCTGGATGCCCCTTTGTCCCCCTAAATTTTATTTTAGGGCTTGACTCTGGAAAAAAGCCTGTACCATGAGGAAATTATTCGTGAGCACTGTCTGGGCTCCCAGTCTGCCAAGAAGCCCAGCATGCAGGAATGCTCAGTCTATTTTCCCTGGACAAAGCTGACTCTCTGGCTGCTGGCTTTCTAGCCCAATTCTCCTTGGTTTCTGGGCAGTGGAAGGATCTAGACTTTCCAACCAAAAGGCAAATGGAGGGATCCATCTCCTGTGTATCTCCATAAAATACAAGGTAATACATCCAAGAGTCAGGATTGGAGCACAAGCTGACAAGTACATAAGTGGGACTGGCCTGTGACCCACCCTCACAGGTGAAGTCAACCAAAAGGGAAATTCATGTCAGGAGGAGCCTAAGGTGCTACCTTCCAAGGTCCCTTTTGACAATGATTTATAATTGGTACTATCTTGTTACTTGATGGAAAATAAACACTTCCTCTTTCCCCAGAAGAAAACTTCAAAACAAACCCGTAACAACTCTATTTGGGTAGGTCAGAGGCATCTTCTGGAGAGATCATTTTGGCTCTGATCAAGGCTGTCTTGGGACACACATGATAAGTGAGGATGCCTGATGCTCCCAAGTTTCTCACTGGGTACCTGTATCAAATTTGTATCCTCTGTGACCCAAATGTACCCTTGACTGTGTGTGAATTCCAAGGACTTGGCTTTCAAAGACTTTACCCTTAAGACACTGCTCCCAGCCAACAGCCTGAATGGAATTAAATTATCCTGTGAAATAAATCCATAGGACAAAAATAGCATTCGAATCTAACCTAATTAAATGCACTCGCTTCAAAGTCAGTCATATTAGCTAAAGCCTGAACATGGGAATCAAGTCCAAAAGTAAATTAAAATCAATTCTCAGAATTGAGCCACAGGTACCACAAATTGAAATAAAACTTCAAGATGCAAGCTGATACTGCTTCACTAGAAACTACATCAGTTACAATGTCCGTGATCTGTATTTCAAGACAAATGAAACAGAGGTAGAGATGTCCAACATGGGAAAACAATCTTGAGGCCTTCAGCAATACAATACAGAGCTTACCTTAAGCCCCTGAGTATCCAAGAAAACTTGAGTTTACCCCATACTGTTTATCCCCAGTCTGCAGTATTTTCATGAATTAAAGTTGTCCTATAGCTAAAAGGGGAATCAAAACCCAGCTGTCTAGTAGTGTCCTCAATCTCCACGTGATTCCTGAGGAGACCAGGTATCCCAATGGTTAGAAATGTGCTATAAATTCTGGTTTCACTACCAGTTCATTGCCTAATTATTAATTAAGCCTTCCTAAGACTCAATTATTCATCTAAACAAAGTGAGTGATGTTGTTATATAATAATATTGTTGGGATCATTGTGGGAGATACAGTGGTAAAGTATTGGTAATGGTGACGAGTGTCCAATGGAGCTTTTGTTGATCATGTTATTATTTTGATTTATAAGAGAAGTCCCTGTTGGGTAGGGAAGTCATCATTCTTAAAAATCCAATGTGGAGAGGCGCTCTTTGGTGTAAATAGAGCAGAGATAGATGGACAAGCCAGGGAGAGATGAACGAAAGCAGAACTCACTGCCCTGGGTATGAGACCATCCCGAAGGAAGGACTTTTGACTCCTTCCACCAGGTGATCACATCAGCAACTTCCACAAATCACATGGAGACAGGTAAAATTCCACAGGAGCCACCAGGGACGCACCACAGCCTAGTAAATAAAACTTAAAACACAAGCTGCCTAAAGCCACCATGGCCACCTCATGACTTTAGAATGGGCATAGGCCACTTATGACCTTCTGCAGACACCCCCCCTGCCACTGTTGCTTTCCAGCCTGGACCCTGGCTCCACGCCCCTTTCCATTTCAGAGTCTGTGGTCTGTGATAAAGGGGCCACATCTGAAGGGCTGTGCATCCCACAGGACCTGTTATACCTGCTTTGCTTTCCCACTTTTCTTTGGCATCTTTACTAGTCTTACTGCTTAGTCTCTTCCTATTTTGACTCCCAGGGCATTTGAGGATATTCGTGGTTTTTAAAGCTCTCTTTATACTTTCTAATGCTGCCAATACTTCTGTGAGCTCACAAAGGGAACAATGTGTAGCAAGGCTAATAAACAGGAAATTTCAATCAGGAAAGTCTTCATTTCAGCATATATGAAGTATGAAAGAAAATTTTTGTCAACGGAAGCAACACTTGTATCTCAAGAAGAAAAAAAAGTATATGTGGCAACTTAGTCACAATGTGACTTAAAGAGTAGGAAGATATCAACAACAGAAAAAAAAGGAAATTTGAATAAAAAGTGTCTAATACTATTACATTTCTCACCCTCCCCATCGTCTCTTTGACTAAACTTTCATTTTGAAGTCCATTAAGTTCCAAAAACTTCAACCAGATTTTGAGCCCATTCAAATTATGGGATATTGTGATTAAAAGATTGTGTGTTATGAAATGGAATCTAATCCTATTTGGGAGGGGGCTGCAAGTAATAAATATCATCACATAGGACACTGCTCATCAGCAGGTCACCTCTTGGCCACTGACTGGCAAATCCACTCCTTTTGACTACGATTGTTGTTATAGCAACTTAAAGTAACATTAGCCACAGTGTCCAGTTTATGCATTTTTTTTTTTGGTGGTGGGGGTACCGGTAATTGAACCCAGGAGCACTTAACCACTGAGCAAACCTGTTTTTTATTTTTTATTTTGAAACAGGGTCTCACTAAGTTACTGAGGCTGGCTTTGAACTTGCAATCTTCCTGCCACAGCCTCATAAGCTGCTGGGATTACAGGAGTACACCACCATGCCCTGCAGTTCATGCATTCTTGAAATAGAATGGATCCATGTTAACCAGTTCACTTCAGATATTCAAATGAAAAAAGAGACAGAGAGACAATATGTGTTCAGCACCTTACCTGCCTGGGCTGTAACAGGATCTTAGCAAACCCCCAATAAACCAATTCATGAATAACCTCTTCTGAGCCTCTCTGGGCCATTCTGTGAATATTGAATGGGGCCAAGTTTGAGTTTGGAGGCAGGGTCCTTCACTATGTTACTCATTTATTTGAATGAACACTTGGACCTTTGGTGAATTTGATTCCAAAAAGACTTCGCTTGATTATCTTGAGAAATAGAGGGATGAATCAAGCAGGGATATGGGGTAGAGAATGAACCAGGAGAGGGGGAACCAACGACTCAAACTCACCGATAGATGATTCCCTTTTCATGTAGGAACATGAGTGCAGAAATGATCTCCGCAGCATAGAAACGAGCCCGTGCCTCATCAAAACGCCGGGACTTCTGAATGTGGAACATCAAGTCTCCGCCATTCACAAACTCCATCACGAAAAACAGACGGTCCTGGGTTAAAACAGGAGGTGAAGCAATTAGCCTAGAGTTCAATCATGTTGTCTACGGGTGTGGCAAGGAGAAGAGAGACTGTCAAGGGAGGTACTCATTGACCCTCCAGACAGCTGTCAGGGAGCAGAGGTTGGGTGGGGTGGTCGCATCCCTCAGGGGAGGAGTGACGGCTGGACCCCCTTCAGGTCATTCTGCACAACACTGAATTTCCATCAGTAACAAGTAGAGAAGGCATCAGGAGCCCTTGGTTCTGGCTCTGGCTGTGGCTGTGCACCTTAAAGACCACATAAGGGAACAGAGTGATGTAAATTGAAAGGCAAATGCCTTCATCTGACCATGGCAGGTTAACCACAGAAAGTAAAGGACATCCAACAGGCACTTTGGTCCTCATAAGTGGGCAGAGAACATAGAAAAGGGAAAACCCTTTAGATAAATCAGCCAAGCAGAGGTCTAATTATGGTCTCTGAGGAGCCTACACTTAGAAAGTCCCTTCAGTCCGTAGGAAGATCAGGAATCAGAAGTGAAGGGTAAAATGAACAGGGGGCCATCCCTACTGCAGGGACTCTCACCCCCCCCACCCCAGTGAAACAGACTCTTGAAAAGTTAGCTGTGCAGTTCCAAGATACAAGGTAAGCAGTATAACAGGTGCTGGGCAAAGTTAGACTGACTATCAAAAGAGATGTGTATATCTCAATTAAAGAGTGGCTGTGAGATGTACCAGGTAAAAGGTTTTGATTCAAGGGCCTCTAAGATCAACAGGTTTCTTCCCTCCTCCCTCTATCATGAGCATCTGTGAAGTTCCTAGTGAACTAGTGCTGAATGAAGCACTGGGGACCCAACAGAGAGAGACAAGCATAGACATAAAGCACATATTGTTCTACCCATAGAAAGCCTGGTGCAAGAAATTCACGGTATTAAAAAAAAGAAAGTTATACAAAAAAGGCAAATCTAGACATTCTGGTAAAGGAAGAAAAAAAGGAAAGCAGAGAAAGCAGTGACATCTGGTCACGTGAGTGAGGTTAGGGGAGGTTCTAAGCAAGTGACCCGTGAGCCAAAATCAGCAGGGTTGAGTGCCATCCATTCACAGACTGGGACGCCCTTTTTAGGGGGTAGGATGTAGAAGGTCGCTGTGTGTGAAATCTGTATTTTACCAAAGGCTGTGTTTATGCCAAACCCCTCTTTATTTGGGGTTCTGAGTGCCACCAACTTTGCAGAGCAGGTTTCCACACATTCCCAGCTGAACAATGGGCAGGGAGATGTGCGTGCTCCTGCTCACCTCTCATTGTGTCACTGCGCAATCAAGCAGATCCCTATCAGAAGGCAGTGTGACCTGTGACCTCCTCGTCCCTATTTTAAGTAATACCTTAATTAGAAGGAAAAAAATCCTCTGTGTTTATTAAATATATCTATCTCTACTAATAACAAGTACAGATTTAAAAGTGAAGTGGGAATGGCAAGATTCCCCCAAACCAAAGGCCACCAACACAACTCTTCAGATTGGCCAACATAAGCCAAATGGGAAACAATATAAATCTAGGGAGCTGTCTGACTAAGCTGGAGGCCCTCATTTGAGTGTGACCCACAAGGGGACAGGCAGAACTGGGTGGGACAGGTTCTGATGAGCAATGGCTGCCCTGTATTTCCTCTGTGGGAAGGACTCAGGTGCAAGGAGCAGGTTAGTGATGGGTGTGGGGAGGATAAGCACATGCTGGAGACACCTCCCACAGCTCCATTTATTTGCACAGGAAGTTTTTAAGCTACCATGGTATTCATTTGGAAGGGCAGCTGCAGGGCACCTGATAAAGAATAAGGTGGAAAAGTCACTCCAAAGCATCCTTGGGCAAGTAGGTCAGCCTTATACATTTTTGTTAACTAGCCTGTTCACCTTTGTCATGGATGTGATTGGCAGCCACACAGCCTCCACTTCCTCTGAACATTTGATTACTGCAACTGGGTCAGTAGGTGAATGGCCACACTTAGGCTGCCACAGTTTGCATCCTTGGCAAAGATTTCTAAGGCAGTAGGCATCAAAAAGATAAGAGCATTCCAAAAGAAATTTTACCCACTTTAGTACACAAATGCACACACTTCTGCATGCTGCGTGGGCGTGACACACACACACACACACACACACACACACAATCTTTTTTACGTCTAAAGTCTTAAAAGTCAGACTCTGGGTAAAACTCTGGGGGAGAAAATGCTGCCCTCTGGTCTGGCTCATTCTCTTCCATCTCAGATCCACCATAGCCCTGGAGGCAGATTCTCAGATAACACTCATAACTCTGTGCCCTCTCCCTGCCACCCAACAAGGCAAGAAGGGGTCATAAGTTTCAGAACTGCAAAAATACAGTTCCATCATTCTGTGTCTTTTCATTCAATCTCGTTTCTAACCTCCTGTCTGGCACCACCTAGAACAGAAGGTACAATTCACAGCCCTGGGGCAACAATCAACCCTTGAAGCAGGCAGGAAAGGAAAACAAACAAGCCCCAAGATGTAATAAGGATTTAATGAAAAAGGAATGATCTATCCTCCCAAAGACCTCAAGTAATGTCACAAGGAAGAAAAACAAAAATATGCCTATCAACTAGCAACACGATTTTTGCTGCAAGGAAACTCTTAATTTACCTGCATTTCCGTTTACCCTATTTTAAAAAGTCTGCTGCAGAGCGGGGAAAGATTTGGCAGCAATTTCTTGAATATTATTATTGCAGAGAATGAGAAAAATGACAAAAATATCCAGTGCTCAGAAAATAAGATCCACTTATCACTAGGTAGGGGAGGTGAGTGAGGGGTCATCAGTTGAAATAAAATTTTATTAAGCATGTCCTCACTGCCTCCTAGCAAGTGTGCAATGAATGGAAGCTGATGATGCTACTGCTGGTGGCTCTAATGAAGATATTTTCAGTTTTAAAAAAATATTATAAATATGAGTGTGCAGACTGACTTCAGTTAAAGCCAAAGATGCAGATATGCATGGAAAGAACCAAAAATAAAACCCATAAAGTAAAAGATGTCAGCTTTGGGTTGTGGGATCTGGGGTGATATTTATTTCTTCATACTTTTCAGTTCCTCTCAAGGTTTCTCTGCTGAGTTTATTACTCTTATCATCAGAAGCAAGGATCACATGTGCTTCCTCCATGGTTTCCTTATTCTGATCTGAAAGGTCGAAGCTATTAGGAAAATATGGCTTAAAAGCTGTCTTAGCAGTTAATTAGGAAGCACGAATCAGAAAGTGGCTGCAGAAAGAAGGACTTTCACATCCTGCTGTCCATTATTAAGGGGCACTTGGGATCACCCTTTCCCATGCCTTTCTGGTGCCTGAAGTAACCAGGCCATCAGGCACGTTGGAACGGTATCCAAAATGAGAGTCGTTGGCTCTGGTTTGGGTCCCAAGAGTCCCGGGCGGAGGTCTAAGTTCTTGTACATAGGCTTCATAGTACCTATTGCAGTTTTTAGAGGCTAATTATACTTCCTTTAAGTTTCCTGGCAAGAATAATTGCTTACTGGGCACACGCAATCTGCCAGGCCCTCAGTAGGATCCAAGTATCCTAAAACAGGGGAGAGCCCACCCCTGCTCACAGACATAGGGACAAAATGCATTACCCAGCATGCATTACCCTGCATGGCGGGGTCAGAGGGCATCCTGAGGTCACTGAGCAGACTAGAGGCTAGGGTGGGATTTGGAAGAAGCTGCTGAGAAGAGCTGATTCCCTAGGTTTGAAGATGAGGATACACAAATCGGGACAGAGTGGGGACTGAAGGAGAAGGTGCAGAGAGACACGGATTATCAGAGCTAAGGTCTGAGGCAGAGTGCAGGGACTGCATAGGAAGACCAGCTGTCAGGTGCTGAGGTGGCTCAGTGTGAGGCCTCACTGTCACTGTACTGCTATTTTCATCCTCAAGCATTTGAAGAAGAAAAGGCTACTTAGGGGTGTTTTATTTGACCCCATCCCAGGTCACCCACAACTGAGAACTGCAGGACTTCAGCTCTATTAATAAACATGATCACTCACCTACTGGTCTGCATTAGAATTTTAAGGCCAGTGCCTGGGGTAAAACAGGTGGCAGCTATGGGATTTGGCTTGTAAAAGACTCCAGTAAGCGTTGGAACATGCCGCATGTAATAAAACAACATCAGCCACACACACACACACACACACACACACAAAAAGCATCACTCCTGCAAAATTTTACTCCTTTGTCATTAACTCCACTGACCTATAGGAAACCTTTCACATTTAGTGGATGCTCTTTACAAAGCAGATACCTACATTTGAAGTTTTGGAAGGAGGGAGAAGATAACCTTTTGCCCATAACTCCACTTGCCATCTACGCTATTTAAGAACTAGTATCACCGATTACTTGCCAAATGCTAAATCATGCTTTACCAATTCAATTGTGAAGCAACTAGATGAAGCATTTTGGGGGAATCCTGCATTAGGGAGGTACTGTATGCTGGATTAAGGCTGCCATGAGTCACTTTTGGGGCAGGGTGAACTTTCCAAATCCCACCCTAAGCGGAGATGGCAAAGGTGGCTCTTTCTGAATTTAAACCTATGTACATAGCCATTTTGGGTTTTCTAAAGTCCAAGTTTCCTAGAAACTGAGCTTAAACATCTTCACAGCCTCACTTGAGGTTTTGGCTGCTCTAAGGTAAATTTGCCCTGACCTGTGTGGTAGGAAACCTAAGGTCCAGGAGGCTGGTTTCACCTCAGTCCTAAAGCCAAAGTGGCCAAGCCCTTTGTCTATCCCTTGCTCCTCTCTTTCCTCTCTGATTCAGCCAACCACAAATGCAAGTCATTAACACGGGATGATGAAAACCTGGGGGAATAAAACAACTCAGAAATCCCTTTGTCTCCCCGCCTGGGTGTGAGTTACAAGCACAGAGGTCAACAAGCCAGTATCTGGTAATAACAGAATTCCTGTCATCATCTGCCCTGGTCCCATTAACCCACTGCAGCCTGGGCCAACTCTCTGCCCTGGGTCTCCATCCAGA